TTACGGCAGCTCAAATTCACCAAAATAAACAGTATTTTCATTCGCTCCAGTCTTACGGCAGCTTCACTTGACCAAAATAAACAGTAATTTCAGCACAGGCTCCTACTGCTGAAACGGGATTGCATGGTACTTAGAACAACTTTTTTTTTTAGCTGCTGTAAGAAGACTGGAGCCTTTGAGCGAATGAAAATACTGTTTATTTTGGTGAATTTGAGCTGCTGTAATAGGAGCCTCCTGTGCTGAAATTACTTAATGGTCCAGTTATTTTGCCAGCGCCCGTGCTGAAGGAATGAAATTACTGTTTATTTTGGTGAATTTGAGCTGCCGGCCAAATAAAAAGAACCAAATAAATTAGGAAAAGTTGTTCTAAGTAAGTTTATATTAGTGGACGGTATGATTTTTAATAATTTTACAATAGCCTTCGAAAAAGTTACGGTTCAAATTATTTTCATGCTGAAAGTTCCAGTTCTCGTTTTAAACACCCGTACCGGCGGTGGGACCCATGCTCGTTGCATACCTGTATTTTTGGCCAGAATGGTTACGAATTGTTTCTTACCATGGCGATTCAACATAAAACCCTTGAATCTACTTTATGGCAGGTTGTATTCCCGACATCTCTCGAACTGCGATTCGATACCGGTATAATACCGGTAGCACGTGACAATGCAATCTGCTTATGGAAGTAAACAATCACCATGACGTCGCCGAGAATCTTTCGAGGAAGGAGGCTCGTCCTTGGCCGGGTACTCCGGTTGCGAGAGGTAGAACCCGGGCACTCGGTTGTTTTCCGTTCAAGTCCGCTATCGGACTCTTCTACAAACAAAACGCTGTATCGAACACCGTGTGGGACAAAGCCGCGGGCATTCCGATTTCCTTCGCAAGCCGACTCATACCATCGCCAGCGACGGTTTGGTACCCTCAATGACGGCGAAAGAAAATTTAGCGAGGGCCAATCTTTGGTACTTTCATCCATCACAGAAACCCCCTTGGATTCCACTGTGATAGAAAAACCATACACCATTGTCCTTATGGAGGACCAAGTAGCCGTGTCTCCTTTGCTGTCGACCGAGGGTGACGAAAATCACAGCTACGATTGTGCCGAGCATCCTGTCGGCAACCAAGCCACAACCTCGTGGATCGATACCTTTCGATCGAAAGTTCCTTCCTACCATGGAATGTCCTTTGCATCCATTTCCTTGAGCTGGCAACGAAATCCTTCCGTTGCCGATGGTGTGCTAGCTTTGAAATCTTGTCAGCTTTCGAGTATCAACGACGCCATTTTGGTAACGCGTGGTCCCGTGGCATCCCTTTGCGCCCAGTATTATCTGGAAAGCTTTCCTCTCCAGGGTTTGGTGATGATCGATCCTATCCTCATCGACGACGACGAAGATGCTTGTGGCGACGGAGAGGCGGTGTCCTCTCTGGTGTCGAGGATGTATCGATGTCAAGACGACGACGCAGACAAGGATCGATTTCGCTCGGGCCGGTTATTGGTTGAACCAAATGCAGTGCCGATGATGGTCGTTGTGACGGCACAAGACGACAAAGCATGGAACGAATCTTCTCGGTTTGTGGCGGCCCGTCATGGAGACGACAACGGTCCCTACGGGAGAGTTCCGATCGTTGATCTGGCGAACATTGACGGAACGGAAAAGAACTCGGCAGTTACAGTCCTTGATGTTATAGGCGAATGGATGAACGACACTCTTTGAAAAATCCGGAGACGAGCACAGCAAAAAGTTCAACTGTAGGGAAGGCCTCATTATGAATTTTTATCAAATGGATACGCATGACTAGCATCCACCACGACTATTCGGCAATTTGTATACACAACCTGAACAGAGCACATGAAGGATTCGTGCAGCACAATTTTTCTAGTTTCAAAGTGTGAAGATGTCTGCGTACCACAATTGGGGAAAGGTTCACCGGATTTTGGACAGTGCTTCATGTACCACACTCCCCTGTAGAATTGCTGAAGCGTGCAGAGTGGTTTCATTGCAGAGGTTGCCGGATGACCTGTTTCAATCCAAAAGTGAGCATTTATAGATTACACCTTAAAAAATATTTGTACAACAGCGTATTCAGAGTTCTTTACCCCAATACGAGACGGATAGATGCACCGAGAGTGCTCCACATGATTCTGTTTAAGAATGTGGAGATTAAAATCTCCGGTTTGTTTTTTGTTTTGTTTCTGATCGGTCCACTATTTGGTTGATAGCAATTGGTCGATCTTGCAACCATGTAATGTCCATGATTTKGCGAAGAGGCTTAGGCCGAACTGAACTTGGTGACGGCCTTGGTTCCCTCGGAAACGGCGTGCTTGGCGAGCTCACCGGGAAGCATGAGGCGGACGGCGGTCTGGATCTCTCGCGAGGAAAGGGTGGCCTTCTTGTTGTAGGTGGCAAGCTTTCCGGCTTCGCCGGCAATGCGCTCGAAGATATCGTTGATGAAGGAGTTCATGATAGACATTCCCTTCTTGGAGATACCAGTGTCGGGGTGGACCTGCTTCAATACCTTGTAGATGTAGGTGGAGTACGATTCGACACGCTTCTTCTTCTTGCCACTGGCGGCAGCCTTCTTAGGGGCGTTCTTGGCTGGGGCAGCCTTCTTGGATGGGGTCTTAGCCATGTTGGAAGTTTGATTTGTTGATTAGAAACTGTTTGGATCCGATGGGGATACGGTTTTATGAGAACTACAACGGCACTCAACAGGATTCGACGATAGAGGTTGATTGTCGTGTATTGCAGTGGTTTCGTCGTAAGCGGAGGCAACGATGACACGCTGCTGTTGCATTCGGTACTAATCTTACTACGAGAACGATATTCGTATTCTGCTGTTCCTCTTTTCCGAACCGTGCAGGCGCGGGCCAGAAATGGGATGGTCTGACCGTCGTAGAAACAGGAATCCCGAGTTTGCGTAGAGTTTGTACTAGTCCTACGTTCGACCAAAGCGGCGCGCTGATGTTGTGCGAAGAAACGACGAAGCAATTTTTTCTGGCCCGACACGAACCGAAACGTGCAACGGATACAGTGTAGTACGGTAGGGACAACAACCCTTCTTCCTCACAAAATCAAAACTGATCAAATCGCAGCGTTCGAACCCAAACCAATAAACTAATCAAAATGTCAGGTACGCAACTCTGCATGTGGTGAATGAGGACGAAGCCCGTTTGTGATCTGCCTGATGGAAATGATACTCACGCATTCATCTCTCGTTACTCGTTGACAACAGGAAAAGGAAAAGGAGGCCGTGGAGAAAAGAAGTCCACAACCGCATCCGCCAAGGCCGGTTTGCAATTCCCCGTCGGTCGTATTGGACGTTACCTCCGTCAAGGAAAGTACGCAACCCGTATGGGAGCCGGAGCCCCGGTTTACCTCGCTGCCGTCCTCGAGTACCTATGTGCCGAGATTCTCGAACTTGCCGGAAACGCCGCTCGTGACAACAAGAAGAGCCGTATTGTCCCTCGTCACATCACTCTTGCTGTAAAGAACGATGAGGAACTCAACAAGCTCTTGGGAGGAGTTACTATTGCCTCTGGAGGTGTTCTTCCCAACATCCACGCCATCCTTCTCCCCAAGAAGAGCGGCAAATAAGCAATGAAC